GGCCCTTTGCGGGTTTTGGGGGGGGGGGGGTGGGCGGACACTCCCGTGCATGGCTCCTTGCACCGGGGTTTGCCCACAGACCCCCGCTGGCACGGCCACCCTCTCGCCACGGTAGCACCGGGAGGTTGGGGGACGGGAGCCGAAGGGACGGGGGGGTGAGCACCCTCTGCCCAGCATCGCCTCCCGCTCCACGGCAGGGTGGAGATGAGCAGTCCCCCCGCCTTCTCCAGCGTCCGCATATCGGGCTGCTGGGCCCTCGGGCCGGACGGCGGGTGAGTTCCTCTTTGGCTTCGGTTTCGGGTGGGTTTTTACTTTTTTCCACCTGTTTGCTTTCAGTCCCTGCTTGCTGGAGCGAACCCCCGGCAGCCCCGGTCCCGCTCCCCCAGCTGAGGGCTGCGAAAGCGCAGGCAGCAGCTGGGGGAAAGATCAGCTTCCCACCAGACACGGGATGAAGCCAGCCCGGCGCCGTTCGGCAGGCTGCGGGGGACTGGGTGGGGGCACCTGGAGGGCTGGGCTCTTGGGCGGTGTGGTGTTTACGGGGCGCAGGGCCGAGGACGTGCTCTCCTGTTTGCTTCCAAGTTCAGGTCTGGGGCTTTGCCATTTTTCCTTGCTGGCTGCGGGGGCTGTTGGGACCTGCTGCCTTTCCCCTCCTAGCCCAGCACGGATCCAGGGTGGTCGGGGGTCTCGGAGGGCAGTGGGATGCAGGGAGCCTTGGCACGGAGGGCACTGGGATGGGGATGGGAGTGGCGGTGGGGAAGGGAGAGGGCTGCCCCTCTCACCCCAGTAAATCCGTGCCTGGGGTAAGCAGGAGCAAAATGCTTCCTTCATTTGTGCCAGCACGTCTGCGGGGCTGGAGAGCCCTTTTGGGGAGCAGACCCCACCGCCGGGCATCCCCGCGGGGTCAGGCTTCCTCCTGGCAGAGGGGCGCGGGCAGACTCCAGCGAGGCTGCACCGGCTACAGGGAAGGCAAAGCGTCCCCAAAAGCTGGGGACGGTCTGCGGAGAGCTGGCGGCGGCCGAGTCCTCCAGGAAGGCTTTGCAGGAGAGGGGTTACCGAGCCCAGGGCGATGTTTCCTTTCATATTTGCCTTGCTATGGCATCGTGCCGCTGAAACCCAGGGGGTACGCTCTGCTCGGGAAGGCTGGGGAGGGTCTGCATGGGAGGAGGACCATCCTTTGGTTAGAGCAACGGCATTAACCTCAGCTATAAATAGAGAGTCCCCTTCCTCTGGGGGCTTTGCCTTGCGGGTAGGGGCCTTGCACGGGCTTTGTCGCTGCTGCAGGGAATTTTTAAAAAGTGATAGGAAGAAACGGCCGAGCGAGAGAGCTGCGAGATGGCTGGGATCAGCCGTTCCCTGGGAGGGGAGGAGAGTCCCTCCCTGGCAAAGGCAGCCGCGGAAAACATCTACAAAACTTGAAGTGTAACATTAGGAGAAAATGCATGACCTTTGCAGAACTCCGGGACGGTCCCGCAGCCCTCCCCACGGCCGTGCTTATCTGAGATAAACCATGGGAAACGTTGGTTTAAGAGGTGTAGAATATCTACCTCTTATATAGATACAGACAGAGAATTCTGTACCTATAGATATCTATAGATACAGATAGATACAGATAGATACAGATAGATATCTATAGATACAGAATTTAGGTGAAAGTCCAAGAATATTTGGATGAGAGGAGGCAAAGCAGACCAACTCTTGGAACAGGATTAAAATGCTGCATCCAAGAGCAGCCCCGGGCGTGCGGGCGGAGAACGGCTCCGCTTCTCGCCGAGGGCCGTCCCTGCGCCGTCCCGTCCCCACGCGTGTCCCTACGTCCCGCGGCGATGCCCCGGCACAGAGCTGCTGGGTGGGTCCCCTCTGTGCCAGCCCCCTTGGTGTGCTGTGGGTGCCTCGGGGAGCGGAGGGGCTGGGAAAGCGGGATGTCAGCCTCTAATTCTGGATACAGCCGGAGCTGTCGGGGTCCGAACTTCCTCATCCCCGCCCGGAGCTGGGTTATGTCAGTACTAAGCAAAGATGCTGGCAGCAGACTTTGCAGAGGTCAGCCTCTCGCTCTGGCTCCGCTCTGGCTCCGAAAACCAGTTTTGCCCAACTCGGAGTCGCTTTGGGAATCGTGGCCTCGGTCAGCATCACAGCGTGCGGATCGTGGTCTCGGGCGCGGCATCTGCAGGCTGAGGTTGGCACAGGAGAGCTGGGCGCTGCGTTACACCAAAGAGCAGAGCATCCCGAAACGCTCGCCTGCCGCACGGAGACGGGCGGGCATCCCCGGAGGAAAACTGGCTGAGCAGCCCTCGGCGGCAGCGCCGGCGGCACGGCTGTCGAGTAACCGCAGTCCCGGGAGAGGGGCCGGGACGCAGATGAAAGAAACCGTTTTATTTTCTGGTAAACAACTGTGTTTTTGTCATCTCTTGCTTTTATCAAGCCAAAATTACTTTGTGGACCGACATCGTCGGCTGATGTCAGCCCCGCTCTGGGAATAGCGCGCGGTGGCTAATTGATGCTGCAGCATCACTGGTGGGAGAGGAGACTGAAATACCCGGTCTGGGTTTGCTTCCCCCGCCTCTCTGGTGGAAGGAGCC